GGTCCAGCTGGTGCTGCGGTTTAGGGCGCCCCGTGGCCCCAGGACGGGCGGCGTCCGGGACTCCGGGGGTCGGGGCGCCGCAGCCCTGCCCTCCAGCTGCGCCCAGGCGTCGGAACGGGCGGCGCGCAACCTGGAGGAAGTCGCGCACTTTGGCGGGTAGGTTGGAACGCGCCCCTGACAGCCCGCTGCAGCCGGAGATCCCACGTCCCGTCAGCCGGGCAGCTCGCGTCTGTGACAGCGCGCTTAATGAGTTTCCAGGGAGCGAAAGGGCCTTAATTTTAAGGACCACATTTTATTTTGAGCTTGACCCCTCTTTTTGTTGTTGACACCTGTTTGGTAAAGCGGCGATGTTTGAAGACAGGTCTGCCTTTTAAATGTCTTCAGGTGGCATTCGGAAGCCCTCATTCAGTCTTTCGTCCACAGTGTTGGGCCACTGTGTCTGGGGCACCTGGAATGTGATGATACACAAACGCCACACGGTCCCTGCCATCACAGGTCTTACAGTCTACTGACAGGGAATGGTCTCATTAGCGAAGAACGATGGAAGGAGTGGCCAAGGAATTTGAGCTCAGCTAGTGAGGCTTCCTGGGGGAGGAGCTGGGGGTGAGAGAGGAAGAGTGAGGAAGAGCTGACCAGGCGAAGGCGGTGGGTGGGGAGAGGTCCCTCTCTAGAGGGACGGGGACATCATGGACAGGCCTGTGGTGGGAGAGGCATGTGCCAAATTGTGTTCACATGTTGGAGTCCTAGCTCCCAGGACCTCAGAGGTGACCTCGTTTAGAGACAGGGTCTTTACGGAGATGGTGGAGTATAAACAAGGTCAACAGGACGAGCCCTGCCCCAGTAGGACTGGTGTCCCGGGAGGGGGAAGTTTGGAGGTGGACACAGCACACGGGAGAGCACCGCGGGAACATGGGGACGGCGGTCTCCAGGTCAAGGACAAGACCTGGGCCAAACGCCCTCACACCCCCAGGAGGAACCAGCCCTGCTGACACCTTCATCTCAGACCGCAGGCTTCCAGAACCGTGAGGAAGTAAACTGGGAATTCTAGTTGCCACAGGCTGTTCAGATGTGGGAGAGGGCAAACCCCGATGAGCAGGTCTGGAGCGGGCGAGCGGGCAGCAAGATGGCAGACGCAAACTCGCCGCTGTCCCGGTCTGCGCCCAGGCCTCGCTGGAGAAGGGGAACGTGTCAGCTGTCTAAATCCGGGTTGGAGTTTTAATTATTTCATAGCAGTGGACACGTATAGTGACTGAGATGACTCTGGGTTTCTGTCTTAACTGTAGACCGTGAAATCTCTCCGTGTGAGCCAGAAGGTGACAAGCTGTCAAATGTACTCCCGAGCGTGGAGGAAGACTTCCTCTGCTGAATAAGTGTTCAAAAGCCAGAGAGAGGTATGTAAAGAGTGATTTCTAAGTCTATTCCGGGTTCATTGTTCCGTGTCCCGGTGATCTGGAGTATGAAGTGTGTCATCTAAACAGCAATAAACCAATTTTAGCAAATAACACTTGGTTGACTCATTAATTCGTCCAACAAACATCCGTGGGACTTGTGGCGTTCCCGGACACTGTCCGCGGTGCTGGAACACGGCGGTGAGTCAAAGCAAACGCACTTCCTTCTGGGACTGATGGGCGGGCGGGGCAGCTAATTAAGTGTCGAGCAAACGGATGCAGTTGTGGCATGAGTGACCCCGTGCTCAGGGCCGGCTTCTTGGGGCTCTGAGGACTGAGGTTCTGGGAGCGGGTTGTGGCCGCAAGGGATGGAGGTGGGGTGTGCGCAGGGCCCTCGGCTGCCGGGGCTGGCTCTGGACTTGGCTTTTGGGAAGGCTATGTGGAAGGGGATGGCGAAGCGGTGTAAGCCGGGGAAGGGAGGCGGGAGCGGAGGCCGCGGCTCCGCCAGGGGTGGAGGAGGCGGCTCCGATTTCGTCTGGAGGGCCCATGGGGACGTGGGCAGGTCGGAGTCATTTCGTCACTAGCGCTGCCAACTGGCCCTGAGAGGGAGGAGATGTGGAAGGCCCAGGGTTCTAACTGGGCTGGCTGGACAGACGGTGCCTTCGTAGAGACGGAAGGTGGAGGGCGGCCGGCTCTGTAGGGCACTCTGCCTGGTGGGAGCACGTTGACCTCGAGGTGGGTCTCAGCCATCAGACAGCGTAACCTTTTGCCCCAGGACTCAGTGGCTTCAATAGTGGCACTTACGAAGTTGGGTTCTGTGGGTCCGGATATTGACCGAATTCGGTGAAGGGTGGGACTCGCTGAAGGCCGGGGCTGGACACACCTGGACGCCGGTCGCTCCCATGTCCAGCTGTCACCGGGAGCTGCAGCGCTTCTCCAGGCGGCCAGTTTGGGCGTCCTCACAAGATAGGCAGGTTCTAAAGGCAAGTGACCCGAGAGTGAGGAACATGGGCAGACAGTGTCGCCGTTTCAGTCCGGTCTGAAAAAACACGCGCTTCACCCCCTCCACCGGCGTCACGTGCCCGCCTGGGGACCAAGGAGACAGACGCGTGAGCGTGGGAGGGAAGCTGTCCCGTGCGCCTGGCCGCGGGCGAGCTGCTTGGGCTGTCAGGCTCTGCGGAGGAGCACGCGGCCTGGGAGGGAGGACGGGGGTGGCGGAGAGTCCCCAGATGGGGGTGAGGGGCTCGGTGCAGCGTCCGGTGTGCACGCCTCCCCCGTGTACCTGTTTCCAGTGTGGCTCCCCCGCCACTAGACTGTCCCCCAGTCTGGAGAACGGCTTACTCTGGAGCGAACCAGTGACCCTGAGGCATGAAGCCCCCCCGTTTGCTCTCACTTCTGGGGTATCTGGAGGGTTCTGGTAGGACCTGGATGTCCCTCTCCGCCTTCTTACAGTCCAGCCTCGACCATTCCATCTGCGGCCATGACAGTCCCGCGTCCACACATCGTCAGGGTCTTCTCCAGGACTCCGTGTCCTCGGGGGTTTCGGCCTTTAAAAGCGTAATCCCTTTGTTGTGGTTTCAGTGTGATTCAGGGGGAGACTGAAAATAATGCGTGTTTTGAATTCCCCACCTTTACTAGGAAGGTTTAAAAATTCTGCGTGAAGCGATTATTTTTGAATGGGCGATAGATGCATAAGGTAGGTAGGGGCACCCAGGGTCACTGTAGGTGGCAAGTCTCCCCCCCTCGCTTCCCCTCCCTCCATGCAGCTCCCTCCCAGAGGCACCCTCTGTCACTGGTGTCTTCCGGACCTTTCCAGAGAGAGTCCACGCCTTAAGGGACGCACACTGGTTTGTACTCTGGGCTCTTATTTGGCGCCCGCCGTGCAGGTTCATGCCACGGGTTTTCTCACTTAATGTGCACGGAGATCGTTACTATTAGTTCACGCAGAGCTGCCGTGGCCTTTTACCTGCATGATAGTCCATCACCTGGCTGTGCCATTAAACATTTCATCAGACCCCTGTTGAGGAATATTTGGTCCCCCCCAAACTTTTATCATGCATTTTTGTGCACTTTAATATTTTTTGTGCAGAGAAATGCATGAATAAGAATGGTCACTGCAGTACTAATAAGTTTAATCAAATTATTGATAAACACAGCAACGTGAAATTGCTAGAACAGATACGTGTGTTTAAATGTTAGAGTTTTTCCAAATTGGTCTCCACAGAGGCCAGTGTACCCCACACCGATAGCACACGAGCGAGCCCATTTCCCACGCCCCTGCCAAAACCACCTAATATTGCAGACTTTGGACTTTTTGCTGACTGGCTAGGTAAGAAATAGTATCTCTGTGTAGTTTGATTTTGCACTGTTTTTATTTTGAGTGGAGTTGGGTCTTTTCATGCTAAGGAAGTTAGCCCTTTGTACGTGTATTATAAATATATTTGTTTTGTTTGCCTTTCAAATTTAATGCAGAAAATTTTCTTTTTTTTTGTAGTTGAATGTGTTGATTTTTATATTTATTGCTCCTGGATTTTTGTATTATGCATAGAAAGGTGGCCTCTGCCCCAAGATTGTAGAATAGTTTAACTTTTCTTTTATTTTATAATTTCCACTTTTGTGTTTGCATCTTTGATGCACTTCAAACTTATCTGTGTAAAGAGTAACGTAGAGGTCCAGCTTAACTTTTTTCCTGGTTGGCTTTTTAGTTCTTTCCAAACTATCGAATTATTGGTTTTTTTCTCTGATGTACGGTCCACTTTCATTACAGGAAAAATTCCCTCAAGTATCTTGGTTTTTTTATGGAATCTTCGTTTCGAACCCTTAATTGTT